CGGCAACACCAGTATGAGGTGTCAACTGTGTGAGAAACCTGGCCATACGGCTTCCCGCTGTTGGAAGCGCTTTGATCCAAATTTCCAAACCCCACCACCTCGCCCAACTCCTCAAGCATACCTCGCCTCCAACCAATCTCAGCAGCACTCGACTGAACAAGAGTGGCATCCCGACACTGGTGCGACGCACCATCTGACCAACAACAAGAGTAATCTGAATATCCGAAGTGATGATTTTGCTGGTACTGATCAAATTCAAATTGGTGATGGTATAGGTTTGAAAATAACTCATATTGGAACTGCCTCTTTATCTAACTCATCTTCATCTTTTATTCTTGACAAAATTCTTGTTGTACCCCAAATTACCAAAAATCTACTCTTTGTTAAAAAATTTGCTCAGGATAATAATGTTTATTTTGAGTTTCATAGTTCTTTTTTTTTGCTTAAGGATTACTTGGGGAACATCCTACATAAAGGCTCTATGTTTGATGGCCTTTATTGCTTCTCTCCATCTCTTCAACGCTTTTTTCCATCTGCCTTTGTTGGTGCTCGGATCTCAGTTACAACATGGCATCGTCGTCTTGGTCATGTCTCTTATGGTACTATTCGACATGTGCTTGGCAATAATAATTTACTTGTTGGTTCCAATAAGAGGCAAAATATTTGTCCTGAGTGTGCAATGGCTAAAAGCCATAATTTACCTTTTTCTACTTCCCTTTCTTCTGTTTCAAGACCCCTTGAATTAATTTATTCTGATGTCTGGGCCCCAGCTCGGTTGTTTCTAGTTATGGATCTCGTTATTATGTTTGTTTTTTGGATGCCTTTACTAAATTCCTTTGGATTTTTCCTTTGAAACTAAACTCTGACGTAGAGTGCCCAATCAAAACAGAGAAGATTGCAACTGATATTTTGGAACAAGAATGCCCAGTCAAAACAGAGAAGATTACAACTGATATTTCTGGCCAACAACTTTGTTACGTTTGTGATAGTGTTTTTGATTTTTGAATAGCTTATGTATAGGAGAAAGTTATAGAGAGTTTGTGTATAAATATTACACGCTGTACACACTGAAATATATCTGAAAAATTCTTATCCATCTATCTCTCATCCAGCTAACATTTACATCGACTAATATATAAATTATTTTTTTCTTGAGAATTTTTCTTATATAAACCCATATAGATTTTGTCTTCTTTTTGTTTGATTACCACCATTATAATGAAAGCTCCGGACCAATTTTAATATTAGACAAGATATGATTCATTGTTTAAATGTATACGGTGAACACACTAAAAGAACTAAAGAGTGATTGGAATCAAAGAAACAAATAATCACACACAAATATTGAGCTAGTAAAGAAAAAGAAAATACATGCGATTTATCCTGATTCACCTAAATCTGGGCTACGTCCAGCAGAGTAAATATTATTGAGATATTTTCTCACATCTCTTGTTACAATGTGTTGACAGAAAAGGTTTCAAGCTTCAACTCAACCAACGGTTTATAAGAAACACACTACATTTCTTCTCTGCTCAAGTATGATCTTCATGACTCTGGAAATGCAGCTTGCAATCTGTTAATAAAACTTGCTGAGCAACTTGCATTCAGTAAAAGCAACTTGTTAACCAACTTGCATTCTGTTAATGCAACTTGTTAACCAACTTGCATGCAGCAGAGAGAGCATGATCTTCCTGTTATGATCTAATGGTGAAAAATGAATAGCCTTTGTGTTTGTTTGTATTAGAATGAATGGTGTAGATATAAGTTGACAAGAATTTGTACTCTACCTTTAGGTATATAAGTCATAATAGTGCCAGTCATTCAAAACGATGAAATAAAAACAACAATTTCCAGATTTTTTCTGCTCTGTTTTTTTTTTTTTTCCTTTCTCATGGTATTAGAGCTGTTGACATACGTCAATGGCAAATCCTAAAACACCTCTCACCTCCGGCCTTAACACAAAAGGAAAGGGAATGAATTCGGCTTCCGTCTCAACACTAAACATCACTCTACCTACCATCACCATGAAGTTAGGAGAATGAAACTATGCTTACTGGAAGTCACAAGTTCTTCCTGCACTGAAAGCTTACGAGCTAGAGGGCTTTGTTACATGTGATAAACCTTGTCCTCCTACCTTTACTATCTTTGAAACTGATGAATCAAAACAGGTTGTTAATCAAGAACAATTAGTATGGAAAAGGATTGATCAATTGTTATTTAGCTGGTTGATATCTACCATTTCAAAACCTATGTTTAGGCATGTTGCTAATTGTGAAACAACATTTGATATATGGCACACATTAGAGATGCATTTTCTAACAGATTCTAAGGCTAGGATCTTACACTTAAGGAATCAATTACAAACGACTAGGAAAGATAACTCTAGCATAAATGATTATGTTCTTAGAATGAAAGAAATTGTTGATTCTTTGACCACCAGTGGTGTGGTTGTAACTGATGAAGAGTTGCTTTTCTTGATGGACTTGGAACTGAATATGATGCAATGGTAACCACTTTAACTGCTAGGAGTAGTGAAGTATCATTATAGGAAGCACAATTCTTGTTACATAAACACGAAATGAGACTAGAGAAACAACACTTTGGCTATACAGGCTTTCATAAAGTCGTTGCCTTCTTGGCAAACAAACAGCCTTCAAACTCTCAACTGACCACGTCAATGTTGAACACCTCAGGACAACAAACAAATCAACCTATACACCCTCACTCCCAAAGTCAACATGAACCTAAACACTCCTACCTAACTACTCAAAGTTTTCAACCTTATAATCCAAATTTTGGCAGAGGTAGATGAAGAGATTGAAACTTTTACAAACCTACACTATTTTGTCAATTGTGTGGGAAGAGTGGACACATGGCTTTACAATGCTATCGTCGCTTTGACACTTCCTTTCAAGGAAATTAGAACCACCAACCACAATTTGGAACAAAGTATAATACCTTACAACAACATATTCAATCCACAACTCCTGCACAAGTGTTCTTTGCAAACACTCAGCTTGGTTACTCGAATTACTTTCCAAGTCAATCTTACCAGACTTCTTCACCTATGGCACATCATTAGCAACTCTTTCAAAACAACACTCTAGTAAGCTCTCCTTTTTTTGGACCAAATCTGTCACAGCAGCACTATGGCCACTTAGGAGAAAGTGAGTTGAAAAAGTAGACTGCAATAGCTCAGCCAAATTAGATAGCAACTCCTCTAACAGTTTTGGATCCGAATTGGTTTATTGACTCAGGAGCCACTCATAATATAACACATGATCTTCAAAATCTCTCAATAAAAAATCAATACACTGGAACTGAATCTCTACAAGTTGGGAATGGGTAGTGCCTTGACATCTCCCATACAGGTTTGACTATCTTACCTTCCTCTTGTATGAACAAATCTATTCAGCTTAAAAACATACTATGTGTTCCACATGTGACCAAGAACCTGTTGAGCATTTCTAAAATTACAAGAGATAATAATGTGCTAGTTGAGTTCTTTGTTGATGATTGTGTTATAAAGGACAAGACTTCTCAGGTTGTGCTTCTTAAAGTATCCTTACACAATGGTTTGTACTAACTCAACATCCCAAGTGGAAATAGGGCATGCCAACAACAAAGATCTACCTTGTTATAGTCTTCTCATTTACAACAATCACAAGCTAAACCTCATTTTCTGGACTTTCATGCTTACATAATTGCATTGGACATCAAGACTCCAATGATGTACCTGCCATAAAAGGAAATAAAGGCCAAGCTCCAGCATCTGTTAGTGAAGGAGATTTACGGCATAAGAGATTAGGCCATCCTCATTTCTTTGTCTTTAACTCCCTTGTACAAACGTTAAATGTAAAGGACAATATTAATAAAGTTCAGTTAATGGCAAGCTTCACCAAAACTCCTTTCCTCCATCAAATTCTCAGGCAAGTAAGCCCTTTGAGTTGGTATACGCTGATGTTTGGGGACCTACCCCTATAATTTCAGCTACTGGATTCAGATACTACTTGCTTCTTGTTGATGATCATACTAGATACTCCTGGATTTATCCTCTCAAACTGAAATCAGAGGTAACCTCAATTGTCAAATAGTTCATGCAATTAGTAGATTAACAGTTTGACAATAAAATAAAAACATTTCAGTCAGACTGGGGAGGAGAGTTCAGACCTCTTGCCCTTTTCTTTGCTCAGTAAGGGATCCATTTTTGGCATCCCTGTCCTCATATGCATAAGCAAAATGGAAGGATTGAATGCAAACATCACTAGGTTACTGAAATGGGACTCACATTGCTAGCATAAGCCTCCATGCCACTGCAATTTTGGTGGTTTGCATTCTACACAGTCATATACCTGATTAACAGATTACCATCATCAGTTTTGCAACATCAAACTCCTTTTTACCTTTTGTTTCACAAATTACTAGACTACAAGGCTTTTCGCATCTTTGGTTGCCAATGCTTCCCCTTTATTAGACCATATCAAAAACACAAGTTTGCCTTTTATTCTGAGCAATGTGTCCTCCTTGGTTATAGCTCTAATCACAAGGGCAACTTGTGTCTCAACACTCATGGGAGAGTTTATACCTTGCAAAGTGTTCAGTTCAATGAACAAATATTTCCTTTTGCTAAAGATTTTTCTATACAACATACTTTAGAAACATAGGCATCTTCCATGTCACCTTCATCTCAACCTTGGAAGCTTTCTGTCAACGTTCCTAATCAGAATATTTCTTCCACAGCACCTTCAACACAAAATCTGTCTGCCAGGTCCACCTCTTAGTCCTCGGCTCCACGTTTAACGCTTGAAGTTGACCTCAGCTCTTACACCTCTCAAGTATCTTCTTCCCAAATTCGGCCTACCACCACAACTATCTAGAACACACACCCTATGATTACTAAAAGAAAAGCAGCAGCTCTTGTTAGTATCCTCACTCCTGACTCCCATACAGAACCTACTAGTACAATATCAGCTTTAACTAATCCTCTTTGGGTGTAAGCTATGACTGCCGAGTATGAAGCTCTCCAACATAACCGAACTTGGTCTCTAGTTCCATACACTGAGGATATGACCCTTGTTGGCAATAAGTGGGGTTTTAAGGTGAAACTGAACTCTAATGGTAGTGTTCAACGTTACAAAGTAAGGCTTGTTGCCAAAGAAATCCATCAAACTCCAGGTGTTGATTATTTCGAAACCTTTTCTCCTGTAATCAAAGCTTCCACCATCTGAGTCATTTTATCACTTGCGGTAGCCATAGTTGGGAAGTTCAACAAGTTGATGTTAATAATGCCTTTCTCAATAGCGATCTTACTAAATCAGTCTACATGCCTCAACCAGAAGGCTTTGTTGATCCTTATAAACCTAAGCATGTATGTAAATTGCACAAGGCATTGTATGGTTTAAACAGGCATCGCGTGGTTGGTATGACAAACTAAAGGCTGCTATGATACAATAGAATCTCATGAATTCTACCTCTAATTCAAGCCTCGTTTATTATCATCATGGCAACAAAGTTGTTTACATTCTTGTTTATGTTGGCGATATCTTACTAACAGGAAATGACAATTCGTTAATTCAACAAATAATCACCAACTTGGATAGCACGTTTGGTCTTAAAATTCTTGGTCCTATTAACTATTTTCTTGGAATTTCAGTAGTTCAGACTAGTTATGGAATGCTTCTTAATCAGAGCAAGTACGCTCAGGAAATTCTACTTAAATATGGCATGACCAACTGCAATCCTTGCTCTACTCCAATGATTCTTGGATCCAAACTTAGCCTTGATGATAGTCATCTATTTGAACACCCATCTATCTATAGAAGTCTTATTGGGGCCTTACAGTACCTCACAATGACTAGACCTGATCTCTCTTTTGCGGTAAAAGAATTGAGTCAATTCCTCAAGGCGTCAACTCTTAACCATTAGTAGGCCTACAAACATGTTCTTCGCTATGTTAAAGGGACCTTACACCATGGTCTAACCTTCAGTAAAGGTTTCGATCTATAGCTTGAAGGGTATGCCGATATTGACTGGGCTAGTAGCTCATATGATCGTAAATCTACTAGTGGCTATTGTATCTTTCTTGGATCCAACTTGATTCAATGGTGCTCCAAAAAACAGCAGGTGGTTGCCTTATCCTTCACTAAGGCAGAATACCGTGCCTTGGCACATGCTTCTACTGAGATCGCTTGGCTTCAAAACCTATTTCAGGAGCTCCATGTCTCTATTCCAGGCCTTCCTGTTCCCTGGTGTGACAACACATGCGCTGGAGCTCTTGCTTCCAATCCCGTTTTCCATGCTCACACCAAGCACATCAAAATTGATGTGCACTTTGTGTGGGAAATGGTCCAAACTAAACGCTTAGTTGTCCAGTATGTTGCTTCCACCTTTCAAGTTGCTAATATCTTACCAAACCTCTCTCCAGCTCTCGCTTTCACACTCTTCGCGATCAACTTCATCTCTCTATCTCTTCGAAGTTGAGCTTGAGGGACGAACTGACTATCCTGAGCAAGCTTCAAATTCTAACTCAGTGTTAGAGTCAAAATCAGTTGAGCGAGAAATAGACAGAACAAAAAGAGGTTGACAAAATAAGCTAAACTGAGTTAAGATTGTGCTTGAGGGACGATGTTGAAAAAAAAAAAAATTTTTTTTTTTCATTGCTGAGTTTAGCTTGAGGGACGATGTTGACAGAAAAGGTTTTAAGCTTCAATCAACCAACGGTTTATAAGAAGCACACTACATTTCTTCTCTGCTCAAGTATGATCTTCATGACTCTGGAAATGCAACTTGTAGAATCAACTTGCACTCTGTTAATACAACTTGCCGAGCAACTTGCATTCAGTTAAAGCAACTTGTTAACCAACTTGCATTCTATTAATGCAACTTGTTAACCAACTTGCATCCAGCAGAGAGAGCATGATCTTCCTGTTATGATTGAATGGTGAAGAATGAATAGCCTTTGTGTTTGTTTGTATTAGAATGAATGGTGTAGATATAAGTTGACAAGAATTTGTACTCTATCTTCGGGTATATAAATCATAATAGTGCCACTATAGCAGTCATTCAAAACGATGAAATAAAAATAACAATTTCCAGATTTTTTCTACTCTGTTTTTCTTTTTTCCTTTCTCACAATGAATGTATTTGTTATGGTTTATTCTATCACTCATACAAGAGAATAATGATTTTATATACTAGGTTATGAAGAGAATAATACAACTAAGATCCTTATTCCTAAGCTCAACCCTGGTAGGAGTTCTAATCTTTAAAGAATCCTATAGTGGCTATATATGATATAAACCCAAACTGCTTACGGGCCCGGGGCGCTTCCCTTTGAGACCCCCACTTGCTCTCCGAGGGATTAGGGGGATCTCATGTACGTCATGCAGACAAGCTATGACTCAGAGCTGCCTAGCTACGACCTTTATTGTTGAAGTGGTCGCCAACTCCAACACACACCAGTCCAATATCATGATTTCATGACATGGTACATTAAGAGAAAATTGAAACATTTTAATAGTATATTGTGATTTTATACATTAGCTCCTAATATGAAAGTTCCTTTCGTAAATAGTAATTACTTCCTCAAATAAAAATTTCTCATTCCTTCACCATCCTTATTCTTGCTCTTCTTATGCACCAAAGCGTACATAAGATATACGGGAGTTACATTACGTTTTAATTTCCTCAATTTTATTGCAACCAAGCGGGCCAACCGGCGATTGGTTCTAGTTTTCTCACATTGAAAAGCCTTATAGGAATCACTATTCATAAAATCATGTTTGACATGTTAGCGTAAGGGTAAGTACAGATCTGCGTACATATGCATGCACTTTCAATTAATATTTTGTTTAGTGGATTACATTTTTCTTCCATTGGAACAAATCTTCTTACGGAAAAATCTTTTATATATATGCGGCCCGGGTCATTCTCTTTTCTCAATTTTAGTCGCAAATATAATGGTGGATTTTAAAATAATTATTTATGTGACATAAATTAATTGATTTGACATTGAGTCACTGAAACATGTATATTTAATATGTGTCCAGTGTGCACACACTTACATGACAAGTTTATTGTGGTCACAATGAATCTATCCAATGTTACATTCTCAAATTTTTGCAAGTTGAACTTATACTTTTAGGGTGCGTTTGATTTAGAGAATATTATATTAATAAAAATATAGATTATTTTGAAGATTACTGGGAATGTTTAGGAAAATGTGTTTGGTTAGTTGGAATAAACTGGTGGGTATGTTATATTGATATGTTTGTAGGCATGGCAATGTTCCCCAGAATTTTGGAGACCCTTCTCGGCCCACCCCATATGGGGAGAGGAAGCCCCGATTTTTTCGGGATAGGGGCGGGGATGGGTAATGCCTTTCCCCCATCCCTGTCCCCGTCCCGCATATAATATATAAAATTAAAAATTATATATATATATATATAAACCCATATTTTCCCAATTTTCCTCACCCTAAACAATTGAACAAGAACAAACCCTAACCCATATTTATGTCAAATTAACTATGTTTAAATGATTAATTTAAGTGTTTGTCATGTGGACAATAATTAACTATTATGTTTGGTAATGCTCAAATTGATTTATGTTTATGTAAAATTAACGAGAAAGGGACGGGCCTCCAACATTCCCCTTTGGGGTGGGGAAGGGGAATTCTTGCCATCCTCGTAACGGGGATGGCGTGGGGGTGGGAGTGATTTTGAGGCTAGAGATGGGTACAGTGAATGAGATCTCCGCCCTGCCCCGCCCCATTGCCATGCCTATATGTTTGGTTGGGAGGAATAACTTGGTGAGTATCTTATATAATTTACTAAATTACCCTCCTTTTTAAATATTAATATAATATTATTTTTTGAATAATTTCTTTAACCCCTTACATTTCAGATTTAACTAAAACACCCTAACAAGAAAAAAAATTTAAAACTTAACAAAAACACCCAACTCACCCCAAGCCACTACTGACGGCTTGTCACCACCACTGGTGGTGGTGAAAGTGGCGATCTAGCTATGAAAGGCCAAATATTTGGTCATGAAATGACAGCCGTTTCACGACCAAATATCTGGCCTTTCATAACCAGATCGCCACATATTTGGCCGTGAAACAACCACAGATCTAACTATGAAAGACCAGATCTGGTTGTTTTCGGCCATGGATCATAGATTCATGGTCAGAAACAGCCTTATCTGGTCGGTTATGCGCCATTCAATCGTTGACGGTTGTTTTTGACGACTGGCAGTGGTGGCTAGATCCAGCCACCACCCTTGAATAATTTTGTATAATTTCAGGGGTATTTATGTCCTAAAAACTTTATATATAAGGATAAAATAGTCAATTGGTATTTTTATAAATTATTTTTAAAATAAAGATATTATTATCCTAAAATTTTATTAATAAGGGAGAAAATTATAATAAAATAAGATAACTAAGTAATCTTAAAATACCTAAAAAAATAGAGGTTATCAAATTACTTTCAATATTATCAACAATAACTACTATTGATATTGAAAGATTATTATAATTTTATACTACTTGACAACCAAATATGGTAATCAAGTAATTATCCTAATAATTCCGTATAATCTGCAACCAAACGCAAGCAGCTTGTTTTTACATTAGAAAGTGAAGTCAAAAGGCGGTATTTTAACTCGATATATATGAGCCGCTGACTACTTGATCAACGGTTCATATAGTTCATCACATATTAAATAACCTTATAATTTTCTAAGAACTAGGACAAAAGTCCAGGGCTTAATTTCTTCTTTACCCATTTCTTCATCAACCATTCTGCCGTAAATCTCAAACAAAGAGTCTAAGCTCCCTTCTCCTACTCCGAAATGGTGACGGATCATTGATTCTTGAATAGCCCTAACTGTCGCCGCAACAGCATAGCCATGTCTATCACCATAATCTTCAATCTTTATGTGAAACATCTGAAGCTGGTCTAGTTTGAACGATCCTTCTCTCCTCACTTCCTCTTCTATTTCATCTTTTGATGGTGCATAAAAGTTCACATCGTAAGACTCAAGCTTTTCTTTCTCTATTTCTCCCTACATAAAACAAAAATTGCACAATGATAACGCGCTTAAACATCAACACTCCAAAATATATTCTTAGTTTGAGACGTATTTAGAATTTATGGGCACCTGAGAAGCCAAGATGGCTAGGGATCGAGAGAGAAGTTCCCAGAAGAATGAGTTGCCCCTGTCAACATGATCAGGACCTGCTCTTCCCAATAAGATAAGCACCATTCGACCTCCAACGACTAATTCTTCGGACCTTGATCTAAGGAACGTGGAGAAATCTTCTTGAAATTGATTAAAATATGCATGTAACACTCGAGGAGGGCTGGATTCAGAGATATAAATGCTGCCTTTGTTTATTGAATCGCCATGGTCGTTGTAAAGAGCTGGAGGAACCTGCATAACATAGTGATATTTGATACATGCGTGATCTAATTTGCATGGTGCTGGACCCTGGCTTAAATTGAATAACAAGTATATGAAAATTAAGAGAGTGGTTTTGTTTCATTTAACCAAATAGTGATTCCAAAATTATGATATATATTCAGAACTTAATGCATGCATGCTCATAGTGATAAAATCAAAAGAGAAGAATCTGACCTTTGATAGCCAGTGAACACTGTAAGATGAATAGATAAGATGCAAGGAGTTGCTGGGAAAGAGTCTTCCATAAAAAGATCCTGGATAACCTCCAATATATATGTGGGGAGATCCACCACTTCTTTCTTCCCTAAGCTCTCTAACAAAATCTGGCAAGGCCTTAAAGATCGAGTTGAAGTCATTTGTTGAAAGATCATTAAGATAAACGTGAAACTCTGGGTCTGAAAGCATGAATTTACGACAAGTTCCTTCAACGGTTTCAACAACATCTTTAATCATTGCTAGTGTATTGGATCCAGAAGAACAACCCAAATCAGCTATGCATAACGTCTTTGTAGTTATTTCAAGATAAAGTTGTTGTAATGTTTCTATGGTTACGTTCTTCACCATATCCGATGCCTTCTTCTGTTGGAAGAAAATAAGAAACAGTTACAAAAGAACAAAATAGCAGGTACGTACTCTTGATAGAGCTGGAACAGTCATGCAATCACCAAAATAAGAAATAATATATGTATCAAAGAAGTGAAAAATAGAGAGGGAGAGGATGATGAAACCTGCAAGGAGGAATTTTTAGCATAGCTAGATGGGCCAGCCCCTCCTGTCATATGAAAGAGTTTCTCCACATCCATGTTGATTAGTTTTGAAGCTTTCTTTGGCTCAGTTATTGTTGTGCTTTAGTCTCCTTTTAAAGGGAAAATTCAATGATGGAATGGCATACTTTTTTGTGTTATCTTAATATATATTAGTCATCATGGTAGTTCAAGTTACATTTGCTTTTATGTGGCATGATGAGTATACAGTTGTAGTTGGCCAAAAATGAAAAACCTAATCTTTAGACTTTAGTAACGCTTCTTTTGGCTTGAGTAGGTTGTTTGGTTTTATGGCTCCTCCTGCTATCAACATGCATGAATACTCGTCCCCCCACCTCAAAAAGGAAAGAAAAACCATTCAGAGCTGTGTTGGATTCCATTTACAATAAACCAAACGCTATACACACTATAAGAACAAACAGTGTTTATATGATAGATATGGATAATAAATTGAAATTGAAAACTTGAAATATAAGATATATGCATAGTAAAGTTGATTATTTAAGTTCCGCGAGTGAAGGTTTTTGTTGGCCATTTTGTAAATTAAGTGAATGATGAAAACGAGAACAGGAGTGTTTGATATTGATGAATGATAAGATTCAAAGTTTGTGAGTGGCGTGTACTATTGCATTTCATTTTGGTCTCCTACTTTTTCCAGTTCCACTTGCTGGGGATACATATCTTTCAGTTTATCAAATCAATGTTTACTTTAGTTGGATTCTCCATAGTCTTTCTTTCTCTACATTTTCTCTTTATACACCAATATATCTGGACACGTGTCAACAATTTAAATGAATGTTATCATCAGGGTCCACCAATTAATGTACTGGAATCCATCCACTCACCTTTAATTCCATCAAATTATATATTTTTTTTATAATTGAGGTGTCTAGATCGGTTTACGTGTAATTCATCTAATTATTGGAGTTTATTGAACACTTTATAAATCTAAAGGGCCAAGTAAGTCATAGTATTGTTATAGTAGGTAATCCTAAGATTTAAATTCAAAAACTCAAAGAAAGGAACAAATTTCTTTGACCGTCGGGCCAACCCCTTGGGGTTGGCATTGTAACCAACCTTTTATTTAGCCCCGTAAACAATTTCATACAACTCAATTGAGGACTCTCAAGTATAAAGCCAGTTATTGTTAAACTCAATCAAAACTCTAATACTACCATTCTTTAGCTTTTATCATCATATCACTTAGTCACTACACACCATTATAATTTCAAACCAATTCCAACGACTAAGAGTAAGAGAATAAGTCAATATTCAGAGTAAGAGAATAAGTCAATATTCGCCACCCTAAAGAAAGTGTCATATATTATTATTATTTTATTATCAGATATGTCCAGACTAACTTACGCGTATTTTAACTAATCCCCATAGACCCTGAAACTGTCGATTAGGTAAAAACTTCATTGACCATCTTTTTTAATGCCTGGGAGGACTCGAGAACTCAAGAGCTCATGAAACTTTCTCTTATTCTTTTACCATCATGCCACCTAGTGGTGGTTAGTTATATATTATTCTTCTCTTTTTCTTACAACATGTTAAAACTTATTTTATTTTTCTCTTTATTTCTCTATTTTACAATGGTAAACACAAATTTATTTATTGAGGTCTTTGATGTGACTAATGAAGTACTTGCTAACAGGTTTGCAAATAAAAAATCTCAACTTCTCTGTATGGTAACGAATGGTTTGATAGATGATTAAGTTGTAGAAGAAACTTATTAGATAAAGCACTTAAAGAATTTAAATTAATCAGATGGTATAGCTTGAGTCTGGAGTTTGTCAATGTCCATTACAACCAGTACGGCCATCTACACCGCACAATTAAAGAGGTGAAATTAAATAAAAAGAATTGAAAAAAAAAAACGAAAAGGTTGGTATGCTTGTGGGTGATCCATGATGAATGATAGTGATCTTATTCTAACTTTAGCTTTATCTTTATTGCTTCTCCCCATATAATGCTCTAGCAATTATGTGTTTTTGCAGTGTGTGACTGGTTTGTAGTATTCTCATACCCACCATCACATTCACCGGTGAAAATTTCTTTCACTGAATCATCCCTGTCAAACAAATCCACATTGGAAAGTAAAGTTATTCTTCTTCTTCATTTTTTCAAAAGCTGAAATTAGCGTGACTGATTTGTGGGCTCCATTTATGCTCTCTTTCTTCGTTATAATTACTTCACTTCACATGCATCAAAATATCTTCTCCGATATTGTTACTTTCAGTGACATTTATAGGACGTCTTTCCTTCTTCTTCTTCTTCTTCTTATGGTTATTTTCCTCTTATGCAATTCATTTTCACACTTTCCTGAGAGTTTTAATACTACACGAACGAACTGGAGTCCTTTTCGTCAATGCTTTAGCATGCGCATGAAATATTGAGTTATTGGTTGGAAACGTAAAAGAAAATATTTAATTATTTGGGCACTAAGATGGTAGTGCGTAAATTCTTGTCAAACACACATTAAGATATTGCCACTTACCTGACCGCCCATTATAATATTAGAACAACCAAACATTGACGATGGTTTTGAGAGTTTTTGTTGATTTGGTAATTTCAGTATTACTTGCTTTTAATTAAATTCAAAGTCTTAATTATTAGATTAACCGTTGAATATTTGTAATTAATTTTGACCTCACGACATTGTATCACTTTGGAAAAAAAAAAAAAAAATATATATATATATATATTACAAAAAATATTTGTATTTGATTAAAAAGAAGAAGAAGAAGAACAGATGAACTCTTCAAACTAGTATTGAACCAAGCGAATGACTTAAAAAACATTTATAAATTTAGAAAATGTACGAACTCTCCCTTGGTTTTCAAAAAATACTTTTAAATATTATTTAAATAATATATAATTTGATTAAACTTATTTGTACTACTAAGTATGTTTTCGAACTTCAATATTCCATATTTCCAACATTTAATGTAAAAAATATTTTTTGGACCCTTAGATTCCATGGTAAAAACGGAATCGAAGCATGTTGATTTAGAATTTGAGGCATCGAAATTTTAAGCAATTTTTTATTTATGAGAAAAGAAACGAAAAAGAAAATAAATAGAGGAGGATAATAAGGGACGTGAATAACTGAATATCTCTACCTTAATATAGACTTTTCATTTACATTTGGGCTTTAACAAACCATAAGTATTATTCATACAAGAGGTGATGCCATTTACCTTAGGTGTGTTTGATTCAGAGAATGTTATTTATTAGGAATGTTATATTAATGGAAAGATGGATTACTAAGAATGTTTAGGGAAATATATTTGGTTAGATTGGAATAAATTGGTGGGTATGTTACATAGATTACTGAGTTGCCCTTCTTTTTTAATAATAATAATAATAATAATAATAATTATTATTATTATTATTATTTTAGATTCTTTTTTTAACCCCCTATGTTTGTTATTTTAGCTAAACACCTCCATAATAAAAGTTTAAAAATTAACTAAAGCACCCCAACCACCCAAGAAGACATAGGCCACCACCATTGAACAGTAGCCAACAGTTGCCAGAATAACGCACGACCGGCTGGATCTGAGTAGTCGTGCGCCGATATTTGGCTGCCAAATCCACAGTGGATTTGGCTGTTGTTAACAGCCAGATTTATGGCCGTAGATCTGGCCATTTCTTGCTAGATTGGCGCACGACCGACTAGATCTAATAGATCTTGCATTGTTCCGGCCACGTCGGTCGGCGATGGCCGATGATGGTTGTTGGTAGGTGGTGGTGGTTTGAGTGTCCTGCAATTTGTTTTAAATACAAGAGCATTATTGTCAAAAAAACTTAATTAATCAGGGGTAAAATTGTAATAGTAGGTTCATGTAAATTAATTTCAAAATAAAAGCATTATTGTCCAAAATTTTTATTAATAAGGGGTAAAATTGTAACAAAATTAACATTATCAAGTAATTTTAAAATACCTAAGAAAATGAAGGTAATCAGATTGTCGCCTATATAACCAACAATAATTATTATGGGTGCGTTTGTTCTGGGTGCATGGAAAATAACACTAGTAATCTATCTTTTTTTCCGCAAATTACTACGTTTGGGTGCCAAGTAATGAAAGATTACGAAGAACTTGTATTACAAATAGTGGTTACTATTAGTGAACATGAGGGTAATTGGATTACCGTCTAGAGAGGTGTTATTTTTCCATTACCGAGGTTATCAACTTTTCATACCAATTTTACCCTTAATTAATAAATATTTTGGACACAAATGCCCTTATATGTCTACTAAATAACAATTAGCCTAAATGAGCAAAATGACTTCTTTAACCTCATATATTATTTTTTTAGACAGAAATACACTCACTATTTATATGGATAATACCCAAAATACTCCTAGCCACCCAAGACAATTGTCGGCCGTTGGCTACCACTGTTGGTTGCCGTCGACAGTCATCGGAACGACGCACGATCGATCGGATCTGGCCAGTAGTGCGTCGATCTATAAGTTGCCAGCTAGATCGAAGGCCAAAAATAACCAGGTGGTTGTGGATCTAGCCAGAAACAACCAAAACTATTCTTGCCGTTTCCAGCTAGATCCTTGGTTGTAAATGGCCACAGATTTGGCCGTTAATGGCCAAAATAGATCTGACCATTTTCGGCCAAATCCACGACTGTTAATGGCCAGAATGGATATGTCTTTCCGACTAGATCCATGGCTATCTGGCCATTTTTGACCTTTAATCTTGCTGAAAACGGCCAGATCGGCGCACGGTTGGCCAGATCTGGTCGGTCGTGCACCATTCTGGTAGTTGATAGCGGCAACCGATAATGATGGTTGGCGGCCGACAATTGTCTTGTGTGGCTGGGTGTATTTTGTTAAATTTTAAACTTTTTTTGTTGGGGTGTTTTAGCTAAATTCTCAAATGTAAAGGGTTAAAAGAATGTTCTAAATAATAATAATAATAATAATTAATATTAACAAGGAAGGATAATTCAGTAAAAATTCTTCGGTAATATTTTATTCCTCCCAACCAAACATATTAATTATTTATACTCATCAATCCAACCGAACATATTAGTATAACATTCCCCCATTAATCTTCAAGGTAATCTATCTTAGTAGCAATCCTATCTTTTCAA